GTAGAATTCATTTCCTTGGTGTGTAGGACTGAGGGTCCAAACTCTTGCAGATGTTTTCTGGAAGCCACACTCAAATCCCAGAAATTGCTTGCAGTTCCTACAGACCACCTATAGTTCCTTGCCATGTCACATGGTTGCTTCATCAGGCCAGGTGGGAGCCTCTAGAGCAAGTCTGACAGCAAGACAGCCTCAAAGAACATAAAATGGTCAAGGAAGTGACATCTCATCACCTTTGCCATTTTCTGTTAGTTAGAACAAATCACAGGTCCTGCTCACATTCAAGGGAAAGGAATTACACAAGGGAAGAAACACCAGGAGGAGGATCACGAGGGGTCATCCTAGGGTCTATCCACCACACCTGGAATAGGTGCATTTGGGGTAGGGACAGTGGCACAGAATGTGGTACCAGGAGGAAATAGATGCTGAGAGTGCCTGAGTAATAAACTGAATGAAGGTTATAAAAACAATGAATGGGAATGCAAGCTGGTACAGCTACTCTGGAAAACAGTATGGAAGTTCCTCAAAAAGTTGAAAATAGAGCTACCCTATGACCCAGCAATTGCACTACTGGGTATATACCCCAAAGATACAAATGTAGTGATCCGAAGGGGTACATGCACCCCAATGTTTCTAGCAGCAATGTCCACAATAGCCAAACTATGGAAAGAGTCCAGATGTCCATCGACAGATGAATGGATAAAGAAGATGTGGTATATGTGTGTGTGTGTGTGTGTGTGTAATGGAATATTATGTGTGTGTGTGTGTGTAATGGAATATTATGCAGCCATCAAAAAATGAAATCTTGATATTTGCAATGACGTGGATGGAACTAGAGGGTATTATGCTAAGCGAAATAAGTCAATCAGAGAAAGACAATTATCATATGATCGCACTGATATGCAGAATTTAAGAAACAAGACATAGGATCACAGGGTAAGAGAGGAAAAAATGAAACAAGATGAAACCAGAGAGGGAGACAAACCATAAGAGACTCTTAATCATAGGAAACAAACTAAGGTTGCTGGAGGGGAGAGGAGATGGGATGGCTGGTGACGGACATTGGGAAGGGTATGTGCTGTGGTGAGCGCTGGGTGTTGTGTAAGACTGATGAATCACAGACCTGTACCCTTAAACAAATAATACATTATACGTTAATTAAAAAATAAAAAATTAAAAAATGGATATGACAAAGTTCAAAAGCATTACACCCTCTATATCTGTAGCTCATTTAATCTATACAGGATGGAGATAAGTAATGGTATTCTCACTTTACAGGTGAGTGAACTGGAAGGGACTATTCTTCTCTGGCTGAAGAGTTGGGCCAAGGGGAGTATCTGGACTTAGAGGAACCACAAAGAGTATCATTAGACCACCCAGGCTCTTACAGACTGAGAGCCACTGAGGTCCAAAGGCCTGCTACAGATTCACCAACACTTAGAGGCTGGCCACTGACACTTGACTGACCACCACAGGACACTTGCATTGAGAACCTGTCCTCTTTGTTGGAAAAGGGCAGTAGTTACTTGCCTAACTTTAGATAACCACCCAGCAGCTGTGGTACCTGTTGGTGTCTTTGCTCAATCCATCCAAACTATCTTATGTGAGCAACATCATTATCAAGACCCAAGATACTAATAAGCCCCTGAAACTGACAGGGGGCTTAAACACCTGAGATGTATGGAAGATTCAGCCCAGATGGGGCACAAGGAGTGTCTTGGTGTGTCTTCAGCACACCAAGCTCAGTGGATGGGAATTCTAAAACCTAGCAACATAACCATGGATTTTCCTTCAAGTATCCATGATATGAAGGACAGGAGACATAAGAATAAAGCAGCAGAGACTGTCCCTAATAACTAAGGAAAACTCAGATTTCATCCATGTATTATGATGTGTCTGTGACTATACTCAGCAAACATTTATTGAATCCTTCCTGTTGACTGGAGATCTAAAGATGAGTAATTTCTCTCTCTGCCTACTCCAGGAGTAATACAGAGTAGACAGATTAGTGCTATATTAGAAGTACTGAAGAAGTTCTAGGAAGTATCCTGTGGGGGGAGAGGGGAGGAGAGGAATTCAAGGAAAGCTTGCAGGAGAAGAGAAATAATTTTCTTTCCAGGTAGGTAGTGTAGAATCAGCAGAACTCTACCAGATGATTGCTAAACGTTGAGGCCGTATAGAAGGCACATCAGCCTTGAGCCAAGTCCTGGAAGTCAAACTGTGTGGAGAATTAGTGGAAACTACTGTTGACAGAGTACTCTATGTTTGAGTAGGAGGGACTGAAGTATTCAGACCTTGAATACTGGATTTAAAGATTTATTCTGAAGTTATTGGAACATCGTGGATGGGAAGAATGGACTCAGATTAATGTTTTAGAAAAAGAACTCTGTGGAGGACAGATTGGGAGTAGGAAGAGATTCAGGTGGGGGCACTCAATTACAGCACTACTATAATCCAGACAAGAAATCGTGAAAGCTTGAGCCAAGGCAATGGAAGCCATTGGAAAGGGGGGACAGAGGTACATATGGTGACACTGGAAGATGGAAAAGTGGAAAACAACAATAAAACCAAAGGCCTCTGGAAAGGATGGTGATGTCATTCATCAAATCCAGAAATCAGAAGGAGCTCACAGGTGAGGCAAATCAATAAAGGTGTTCAATCTGTTACCATCCAGGGGTTGTAAGACATATTCGTGGAACTGTAGGTGTACAACTCAGAGAGAAGTCATTGTGTAGATAAGATTTTGAGTCATTATCAAGTATGATAGTTGAAAATATGAGAGTGCTTAAACCAGTTAGGAAGATAGTATAGCATTATAAGATGGTAGGAGCCTTGGAGAATGCTGTATTTGTGAGAAAAAAGGGTATAATGGAGCTTGATATGGATAGGAGTAGAACCAGGAGAGAGGAAAAGGGAAGAACGTTTTAAGGAGGAATTACTGTTGGTAAGCTAGACATGAGGAGGGCTAAGCAAGGACCACTGGGTGAAGTAGGTCACTGGCAACTTTTGGGGAGCAGTTTGAGAAGGGTGGCAGGAGCAGAATCCAACAAGGGTTATAGACTGCTTAAGGAGAGAAGAGGCTACAGTGTGTCACATCAGTTACTTTTAGAAGAAATTTGAGAAGGGAAGAAAGTGAGAAAGGAAAGTGGCTTGAGGAAGGAGAGGGGTACTTGAGACTCATCCTTGTTGCTATGAGCTACTGTCTTCCTAGCAGCAGTTATCTTACACAGCTGTGCAGGATAAGAAGGAGGGATTTGACCTCCTCACCCCTCCCCCTTATTTCTAACTAGTTACAAAACTCCAGGCCTAAATTACCATCTGGAAAGGAGAAGGGGGACGTAATCTATTAACAGATCCAAATTTTGCTTCACCAATTTTGGCTAAGACTTCCACAGGTGTACAAACTCCAATCCTCCACCCCAAACAAAACAACAACAAAGCAACACCATCCCCCTTCTCTTCTTTGTAATCTGGAAAAACTCAGTAAGTGCACAGTGCCCGAGTCCTGTGCCTAGAGCCCCTCTCTGAGTCAGTCTGCTTTAACCAGAGGGAGCCCGGCTCTGAGACTGCCAAGGCCGGTGCGCAGCTCTCGAGGCGGCGCGCTCGGCGCAAACCCGACAGAATCGCTCCAGTTCAGCGCACCCGATTCTCCAGCGATGCTTAAGCTTTGCCGGCCGTCGCCTTCGGTGGTGACATCAAGTCCCACAACGCGGCGCGGGGAAGTGAACACAGTCAGGAAAACCCTCGGCCCTGCCTGCGGCCTCTTCGTCCCGCTACAGTCGGCCTCCATTACTCTTTTCCCGTGCCGCACCTCCCTTAGTAAAATGAAACCTAGTGCCATCAGCTGAGGCAGAAGGGTGGGAATCCACTACCTCTTCACTAAGCAAAGAAAAAGGCAGAACCCACTCTACGCAGCAAAGGGGTGTGTTGCACCGGTCGGGTCGCCTGGAGGTCCCGCCCAGGCCCGCCCTCCTGACACAGGAGACTACATTTCCCAGAGGCCTCCGCGGCCCCAAGGGGCAGGCCCGTCCGCTCTCCCGCTCATACTGAGCGGTGACTGGCTTCCCCAGAGGAGGGCGGGGCCTACCCCAGCCAATAGGTGAGAGGCTCGTTACGGCGGCGGAAGCAGCGGCGCTGGGCTGAGGGGTGGGGGGCAGAGTGCTAGCGCCCCGGCGGCGGCGGCGGGTCCGGAGCCCGAGGACGTCGGCCCCACAGGCGGAGAGCGCACGGGAGCGAGCTCGAGGCGGCGCGGCGGCCCCTCGGCGCAGCACCCAGGTAATGGCGGGACGGGCTCCCGGGAGGGGAGGGGAGGAGAGGGGAGGAGACGAGGGGGCGGGGCGGCCGAGCCGGGCTGCAGCGTCCGTCCCGCTGTGCGTCCCTGGGGAAGGGCAGCGGTGTCTCGTCTGCTGCGGCTCAGACCTAGGCTCTTTCACGAGCTGGGCACGGCGGTTGGGCCGGCGGCAGGGACCGGGTGTCCTGCGGCAAGGAAGGGAGAGCCTCCAGGAGGGGTGGGCTGTTTCGGGCTTGGGGGCGTGGCGGGCGTGGGCCCTGGCGGGGAAGTGGAGCGGCCGGGGAAGCGCCGGCGGGCGGGCGGCCCAGGGAGTTTGGCTCCTGGAGCAGTTTAAAGTGACTCTCCACATCCGGGCCCTGCGCCCGCCGCTTTCAGACCCCGACCGAGGCGGGGCCTCCTACTTCCCCGCCCCCCTCGCCGGGAGCGCTTGTCTTCTTCTGCCATTGGCTCAGCCTCGAGGGGTTTGGACTGCCCCTGCGAGGCTCGCGCCTGATTGGCTGGGAGTCGGCGGGAGGGTGGGGCGGGATCAGAGCGCGCAGGCCTCCGCGGATTGGTGCGGACCCTCGAGTGACGCGGCCGGCGTGGGTCCAATGGGCGGGCGGGGGAGGTAGGGGCAGGTTCGGGGGAAGAAGACTGGAGAGGAGCCGCGGCCGGGTGGCGGGGGTGAGCGGGGCCGGCGGGGCTGGACAGCCGCGGGCCCGAGGCGCGCTCCGGCAGGAGCCCTCTCCACGACCCAGGAGCCCAGCGCTGCCACCGAGATGGGCCCTCCGCGGCACCCCCAGCCCGGCGAGATGGAAGCCGGAGGTGCGGGCGGCGGGCGGCGGCTGCAGGTAAAGAGGCACACCGCTTGTTCTGGGGCTCCCCAGAACGCCGTCCTCCCCCACCCTCCAAGACTAAGTCTCAGACACCCGAAATGTCTCTGGAAACCTGTGTTCTGCGATATCAGCGGTGGGGTTCGGGGTGGGGGTGGGGTTGCGTGCGAATTGGGAACATCGGTAGAGCTTGGCTCCTGAGGGAAAAGTGGGGGTCGATTGTAGAGAAAGTGGCGAAGGTCTCTGGTCCCTCTGGCTCAGTAGGGGGTCTATGAGAAAAGGGGGAGGAAATCGGTAAATGGAGGCCTGTGCAGAAAACCATTTGAGAGTTCCTTTTGGATTAGGTCTTGATGTAAGCTTTCCGATTTCTTAGAGCAGGGCATCTCCCCCCGGGTTCCTGCTATGACATACTGATGACAGTTGTGTTCACCTTGGTGTGAGCTTCAGTCTTTCAAAGGAATATGCTGTTTTCCATAGAACTTTATACAGATACCTATTTGTTGGGTTAATACCCATTATATGGCTGTTGTACAGAATTCAGTGTTGATTTTTTAGAGTGGTAATCTGTATTTCCGGAGTGTGATAGTATACCCCAACACCACGCAAACGATTTTACTATTACTTGAATCCATGTCGTTTAAAAACTTACAGAATTTAGACCATTTCTGCACCGTATGTTGATCACAAGTAATCGTTTTAGGTGCATGAAGCTGCATTTGCTTTTCTAAGGGAAAGTATAGGTACTGGAGATGCTTTAATTTCTCATTATTGATTCTAATGTGAGAATTTAGTAATAACCATGTGACTGTATGCACTGCAGGTGGAAATGAGTTCTCAGCAGTTTCCTCGGTTAGGAACCCCTTCCACTGGGCTAAGCCAAGCTCCTTCACAGATTGCAAACAGTGGTTCTGCAGGATTGATAAACCCAGCTGCCGCAGGTGAGATGTGTGACAGTCTTCTCTATCGCTTCTTGCTTTAAGAATATTGCCAGTTTTTTTTCATTTAAAAATTAGCAAATTCCTTGTGGGATTTTAGTAAGTACTAGGTTATTGAATTTGGAGAAAGGATATATTACAGTTCTAATTTAAACAAGGTTTGTTGAGGGTGCCTGGGTGGCTCAGTTGGTTAAGCATCTGACTCTTGATTTCAGCTCAAGTCATGATCTCAGGGTTGTGAGATTGAGCCCCACGTCAGGCTCTGCGCAGGGCATGGAGCCTGCTTAAGAGTGTCTCTCTCCCTCTCCTTCTGCCCCTCCTCCCTTTATAAATAAACAAGGTTTTTTTTTTTAATTCCTTTTTTAATCCTTTCACGTATACTAGAGTATACGTGAAACTTACAGCGAAGCATGCCTATGAGAACTATATTTTAAATACATTAATGTGTTCTCCTTTAAGGCCCAGAGGTATAAGAGTGCCATGGGGGAGTCCAAAGGTGTTTAAGGCATAGTTCTTGCCTTTTAGGAGCCTATGAGCTAGGAAAGAAAGTTTAAAAGAAAAAGTACAGTCAACCCTTGTAAAACACAGGTTTGAACTGTACAAGTCCATTACATGTGAGTTTTTTCTGATAAACATAGTACAGTACTGTAAATGTATTTTGTCTTCCTTATGATTTTCTTAATAACATTTTCTCTGTAGCTTTATTGTAAGAATATATAATATATGTAACATACAAAATACATATTGATTGACTGTTACAGGCAACATTTCTAGTCAATAGTAGGTTATTAGTAGTTAAGCTTTTGGGGAGTCAAAAGTTATATGCAGATTTTCAACTGCAGGTGTGGTCATCACCCCTAACCCCTGCATTGTTCAAGGGTCAACTGAATATATACACATATATGCACTTAGTTTTTAGTGATATGCCCTTTGAGTGCTGTAGATCAGTGGTCTTCAGCAGGGATGATTTTGCAGTCCAGGGAATATTTGGCATTGTCTGGATACATTTTTGGTTGTCACAAGTAGGGGGTGCTGTTGGCATCTGATATTTAAAGGCCAGGGATGCTGCTAAACATCCAAAATGGGTAGGACAGCCCTCCACAACAAAGTATCTGGTCCAGTCAACAGTGCTAAAGTTGAGGTACTCCTTCAAGTAGTCTTTCTCTCTCTCTCTCTCTCTCTATATATATATCAAGTAAAAAGATGACATTGCAAAGTAAAGTATTCCTTTTTCTATTCCTTTTTCTTCACCGTCTGCTTCCTAAGTTCCTTATCATGGTAAATGGTATCACTGTCTGCTCATTGCTCAAACCAGGAACACGGGCATCATCTTTAACTGCTCTGTCTCTGGCTCTTATATGTGAGCTGTGGACCTTTGTCTGATGTTTCAGCCTCATTGTCCCTTTGCTTCCCTCCAGCCAACTTACTTTTTATTACAAATTTATCTGAGTTCTCTTTAGCCTTGAAGTAATTTTAAGCTACTTCTTGTGTCCTGCTTAATAGTAACTACTTGTTTTCTAAACGAATGACAAAAAGTTCCCAATATTCTTGACCTTGAGTCTTTATACACAATCTTCCTTCTTCCTGTACACACTCACTTATCTGGTTAATTCCTGTCCTTCCTTGAGTTTCATCTCAGATGTCACTTTCTCTAGGAGGTCTTTGTGACTAGACCACAGGAGTCAGGGGTAGGACCTGAAGGCTGGAATCATGTTCTGGAACCTGGAACCTTGTGTACCTTTGTATGTGCTATACTTGCTACATTGTAGGGCACAAAAATAGTGGCCAACAAGTCCTTATAGAGCTACTTAAAGTTCTTTGCTACTAAACAGATATTTTTGACAAATTGTCTTTGATATAAATTCATAGAATAATTTAAAGAAGTATAGCTTAAAGAGAATATTCTTGAATGTCTATTTACAAAGAATTATATTGCTTATTAAAAACGGTGTCAGGGGTGCCTGGGTAGCTAAGTCAGTTAACCATCTGCCTTTGGCTCAGGTCATGATCCCGGAGTCCTGGGGTCGAGCCCTGAGTTGGGCTCCCTGCTCCATGGGGAGCCTGCTTCTCCCTCTTCCTCTGCCTGCTGCTCCCCCTGCTTGTGCTTGCTTCCCGCCCCGCCGGTCAAATAAATAAATAAAATCTTTAAAAACAAAACAAAAAAGGGTGTCAATTAGCAATAATTGCCCTCAGATTTTGTTGAGAAGGAAATCATTGACTTAGACCAAAATTGTTTGTAATTTTACTTCTGAATAGTGTGTATGTTTTTTCCTTCAGTGACTCTGAGAAAGAAAATAAAAGTTTTTCCGTAAGGAGTTAAATATTACTCTATATTTCCAATTGCTTTTATTAGAAGAACTAATTCGGGATCCTAAGCATATCAGAATTTCAAATACATGTTCAAAGGTCAGAAGTATGGATTACAACAAGTTTTCTTAACTATTCTTTCAAGATCCTTTTGGTTCTAAATGATTCTAAAAAGAGCTTAACAGGGAATAGTCAGTACATTATATTATAATGAAATTGTCAAAAATCAAAACGTTCCTGAACAAATAGGTTTGGGGGAAAGTTACAAAATTGTCCATTTCCCTTAAAAATTTAATCGGGAAAAATCTGTTTGGACAACAGGGAAGGTTCACGACATGATCATCTATAAAGATCATATATTGAAAAAGCCATTAGAGCTAATAAGTGAAATTAGTAAAGGTTGCAGGATAAAAGTTCAGTGTATAAAAACCAGTTATTTTTAGTATTAGCAATGAACAATGAAATTTTTTAAATGTCATTTACAATAGCATCAAAAAAAACCCCACAAAGCACTTAAGGGTAAATTAACAAAATGTATGTAAGACTTGGGGTTAGAAAACTATGAAAAACGTGACTGAGAACAATTAAAAACCTAGATAAATGAAATGATCAATCATGCGCATCTATTGAAACAGTATTTTTAAGATAATAATTCTACCCAAAGGGATCTGTAAATTAAAAAAAAAAATTCTAATCAAAATCCTATTATGTCCTTTTGTAAAAATTGTCAGGCTGAATCTGTATTTATATGGAAGCCAAAGGACCTACAACAGCTGAAGCAATTTTGACCCCTAAAAAAAAAAAAATGAAAGTTGGCGGACTCTACTACCTTACTTCAAGACTTGCTGTAAAGCTACACTAATCAAGACAGTGTGATATTGGCATAAAGATAGAAATAGATCACTGAAAGTGGAGGATCCAGAAATAGACCCACACATAATGGTCAATTGATTTTTGACAAATGTACATAGATAATTCAATAGGGAAATGATAGTCTTTTAAACAAAATAGTGCTTGAACACCAGAATATCCATATGGAAAAAATGAACCTTGACCTTTACTTTCGCCATACACAAAAATTAACTCACATGTATCGTGGATCTAAATGTAAAACTTAAAATTTCTAAAAGAAAACATGGGAACTGCTTATGACCCTGGGGTGAGCAAAAATTGTTTAGGTTGCAAAAAACACTAATTACAACAGCAACTGGTATATTATACTTTATTAAAATTAAAAATGTCTACTCTTCAAAAGACACTGTTAACAAAATAAAAAGGCAAGCCACAAATTGAGAAGATGGTTGCAATAAATATATCTGCAAAGGGCTTGTATCCTGAATATACAAAGAACCCTTGTAACTCAGTAGCTTTTGCTATATGAGACAGCCTGATTTTTTTAAAATGGGCAAAATATTTGAATAGACACATCACCAAAGATGCTATCTGAATGTCCAATAAGCACATAAAAGATACTCAATAGTATTAATCCTCAGGGCAATGCAAATTAAAACCACAGAAAATAGTAGGCATCCACTAGAATGACTAAAAATACCAAGTTTGATGTGTTTGTGGAACAAGTAGAAGTCATACATTATTTGTGGGAATGCAAAATAATCTAACCACTTTAGAAAATGGTTTGGCAGTATCTTATAAAGTTAAATATAAACTTACCATACAACCTAGCAGTCCCATTCCTAGGTATTTACCCAGATAAATGAAAATGTATGTCGAAAGACCAATACTTCAGTGTTTATAGAAGCAGTATTCATAATAGCCAAAAACTGGAAACAATCCAGAATTTATTAGCTGGTGACTAGATAAAGTTTAGTTTATATGTACAATGGAATACTACTCAACATTAAAAAGGAACGAACAGCTGGTATATAGAACAACATAGAAGAACCTCAAAAACATATACACTTAACCCTTGAACAACCTGGGGGTTAGGGTCACTGACCCTCTGTGCAGTCAGGAATTTGAGTGTAACTTTGACTCTGCAAAAACTTAATTACTAATAGCCTACTGTTGAAGCCTTACTGATAATATAAACAATCAATAAATATTTATATTTTATATATATTATATACTGTACGTTTATAATAAAGTAAGTTAGAGAAAAGAAAATGTATTAAGAAAAGCATAAGAAAGAGAAAATCATTTATAGCATTGTACTGTATTTATCCAAAAACACCCAAAATCAACATAGGGGCACCTGGGTGGCTCAATTGGTTAAGCATCTGCCTTCGGCTCAGGTCATGAACCCAGGGTCCTGGGATTGAGCCCCCCCCATCAGGCTCCCTGTTTAGCAGGGAGTCTGCTTCTTCTGTCCCTCTGTCCCTTGACCCCGCTTATACTCTCTCTCTCCCCCCCAAATAAATAAAATCTAAAAAAAAAAAAAAAAAAATCCACATATAAGTGAAGCCATGCAATTCAAACCCATGTTGCTCAAGTCAACTGTACTAAGAGAGGGAAGCAGACTGACACAAAGGACCACATATTGTACTGGGGCGCCTGGGTGGCTCAGTTGGTTGAGCGTCCCAACTGTTGGTTTCGGCTTAGGTCGTGGTCTCAGGGTCTTGGGATTAAGCCCTGCCTTGGGCTCAGTGGGGAGTCTGCTTGGGATTCTCTCCCTCTGCCTTCTCTCTCTCCCCACCCCCACGCACTGACACACGTGCTCTCTCTCTCAAATAAAAAAA